ACACACACACACACACACACACACACACACACACACACATACACACACACGCACGCACGCACGCGGCACACACACACACACACACGCACGCACGCGGCACACACACGCGCGCGCACGCACGCACACACACGCGCGCGCGCACACACACACACACGCATACGCACACGCACACGCACACGCACGCGCACACGCACACGCACACGCACGCACACACACACACACACACACACACACACACACACACATGCACACGTACACACGCATGCACACACGCACGCACGCACGCACGCACGCACGCACACACACACGCACGCACACACACACACACACACACACACACACACACACACACACACACACGCGTACACACGCACGCACGCACACGCACGAACACGCACGCATGCTGGCCTGACCTGACGCCAGGGAAACCTGTACTCTGGCCCTGAGGGAGGCTTCTGATTGGTCTAGACACCACGTGACCACATACGTCACGGGGGCGTGGTCACGTGGTGTCAGAAGTGACGACATTTGGTCACGTGGTAGTGACGTCACGTGGTCACGTGGTAGTGACGTCACGTCACGTGGGCGTGGTCACGTGGTGTCTCTCGACCAATCAGAATCCTCGCTCAGCCTCAGGGCTAGACTGGTACCCGGTCCCACCTATCGGCTTAGGTACCATCGAGTAATCGAGGTGGGAGCGAGTACCAGTCTACCTCAGGGCCGCATGATTTTTTCCCCTAGGATAATCAAAGGATAATCAAGAACATAGGGCTCTAGTGAGCGCTGCTATTGGTTGAGCTTGTTTCATCACTCAATGACGTCACAGTGTCGTTCTATTCATAGCACATTAATAATTCATGTTACCAATAACCCTGAATAGCCGAACGAGTACAGGACGGACGTCACGGCTGAAAGGTCGTTGGATCGAATCCTACCCGTTTTTTAATTTCCATAATCCGTTTCTATTTTCCTGTTTTCTGTATTTTTCTATCTTTATCCATTTAACAATTTTTTTCCAATTAACGCAAATATTTACATGATTTATTTACAACAATTTAAGAACAACAATTAATTTTTACAACAATTAAACATTTAATTTTTTATATATTTTTTTAAATAGGGTTAGGGTTAGGGTCACAATGCACCATAAAACAGGAGTTTGAGGCACGTGATTTGTATCAACCAATGGCAGCGCTCACTAGAGCCCTATGTTCTTGATTATCCTAGGAAAAAAATCACGCCTCAGGGCCAGAGTAGGCCTACAGATTTCCCTACTACTCACAACCATCGATAAAAAAGTGTCGCAATTTATGATTTATTCCATCATCTTAACGCCTTTATTACGAACATAATTACCAACCCCTCTCGTGTTTTCCCAACTTTTACGACACGTAAGCGGGGGACACACCGTGCGAATTTATTCGCACGTCCGCAGCGATTGTAAAATCGCAGCGAAATTCGCATGGTGTGTCCGCTCAAGCGCGGGCGAATTTCGCTGCGAATTTCATCCTCACCAAAATTCGCAGCGATCAAACATGTTTGATATTTTCGCTGCGGACGTGCGGACGTGCGGACGTGCGGACGTGCGAATAAATTCGCCTGGTGTGTCCCAGGCTTTAAGCGGCCGATTGTTATAATGCAGCGAATCATTGATCAGTATGCTAATCACGTGACCACATGACTGTTGGTGCCATGGTGGAGCCATGTGGCGCCAGTAGATCGCGTGTAGTGTGTACGCTGCGGACGTGCGAATAAATTCACATGGTGTGTCCGCTCAATTATCGCATGCGGGTGCGAATATTTTCGCCGCGATTTTCGCTGCGGATATGATCACCGCGGACGTGCGAATATATTTGCATGGTGTGTCTCAGGCTTTACCCTTATTGCTTGAGTAATGGCAACTGTCTAGAGTAACGATAAAATGTCTTAGAACCTTCGTAGTACTACCTATTAGCTAATAACCGGCGTCTCTCTTCCAGGACGTAGTATTAATGTCTTCTACTCAATCAAATAGCGGTAATTTACATGTTGTGTAAACATAATCATTCAGGCTAAGACCGCGGATTTTTCTTCCACTACTCTGTATCTACTGGAATAAAAGCTCATTCGTCGGGATTCTAATAACAGCAGCTGAGTAGGCCTACACTCGACTGGTCGCACCCTCGGGTGTCGCCGGAAGAGCGGAAAAACGCTACACTAGTGCCGTTATCAGTGACCAACGGAAAAACGCTACAGTTATAAACAGCTAAAGTTAATTAACTTCTGGACATTTCTAATCGTTTGATTTCCATATAAATCCTTAAAAGCTACGCACGGACGCGCGCACGGATGCACGCACGCTCATGCGATTCTACAAGCTGCATCTGACTATGTCAGATGAGCTAAAAACATGAAAACAGATTCACAGATATGCACAGACAAGCTTCAGTTATGAACGCAGTCAAATAGAACAGCAGAGGACCATGTTATGGAATGGTGCAGTACAAACACGCACAGAGTCTGCAGCAGTTTGCAATCGCTGTTGCAGCTCTATCACAAAATAGTATTTGTACTCAAGTCACATGAAAATAATACATAGGCAGCAGCATTGACTCACTGACTATAATAACACAACTATCATAACATATTAAATCACACAGGACAAATGTATCAGCATTAATATATAAAAAATATGAAAACTTGTTTACAGATATGCACAGACCAGTTTATCGATGCAGAGTCAAATAGAACAGTAGACTCTAAAGTAGCTCTAGAACTATAGCCCCCCCCGCTCCGCCGCAGGGAGGAGCTCCTCCTGCGCTCCTGCGGCGGAGCGGAGGGCTACCGCTCTAGAGCTAACTCTACAGCTAATATAGCCATCAAAACCACAATCTGCATTACTGGCATTGGACTCAGATTCTGAGTCATCAGAATCTACATATTCAGCATTCTGGTCTTCTTCTCATGCACGTTTTTTCCAGACATTTTGACTTGGTCGCCGACTACGAACTGCTGAACTATTCCACAGATGTATTACTGGGTCAGGGTTGTAGTCTTTAATTTCTTAACTGTCTAATCTTATACGAATTATGG